CTTTTGTCCTAGCATGGGCAGCAAACGTCACTTTACTGGGATTCCGCAACTAGCATTCATACATCCACACTGTCTCAACCACGCTCGTCACCGGTCATTATACAGGGAGGCCTTTAGTGTGGTCACTGCACACCGTCCGCAGCTTGCGTGCGGCGACGAGACCCCCCTGATCACGAACGGAACCGCACAGCCATACATCACGCATGCATCTGAGTTTATCCCCAGTAGATAGCAGCAACCAGGTGCAAGGCTCACCGCGACATCACCACGTAGCCCCGACCTTCTCTCGTCACGGAATGATGCCGGAATGCCTCATCGGCACGCCGGAATGCCTCATCGGCACGACGGAATGCCTCATCGGCACGACGGAATGCCTCATCGGCACGCCGGAATGCCTCATCGGCACGCCGGAATGCCTCATCGGCACGCCGGAATGCCTCATCGGCACGCCGGAATGCCTCATCGGCACACCGGAATGCCTCATCGGCTCATGGGTGCAAACATCGCCTTCTGGAGCCGCTGTTATGATTTTAACAACGGGACCCTCAGCGACCGACTTTGCTGCCGCTGCTCAGGGTCAGTTACTCATGGTCATCTTAGCAGACCCCTTTCTGTGGCCGCGTGTTACTCCACCAACGGAAAAAAATCAATCACTTTTCCGACAGACCAAAGCCCTTATCCGACTTCCACCTTCTGGGGGTCACAAGAGAGCAGCTGAAAAACGAGCCTGACGTCCTGCAAGTCGTGATTCCGTCGCTTCAAGCTGTACGCAGTATGCGAACTATGCAAGATCATTAATTTGACATGCAATGTGGACCTTATTGCGGCGCATCATATCAATAAGTACAGCTGGAGCACCGCAGGTCAATGATGGGGTTAAAACATGTCTCCGTTGTGCTTAAGCCCAGGGTGCATAGCGTGCCGCAGTTGCTACGTCTGGTTCATGCATTGGTCATTCCAAAGCATTAATTACGTCAATATGCGACTAGTGGTAAATCGCCAAGTACGACATTTTCTCTTGTGCATGCAGTATTCCTGCAAAAATCGACAGCTTGCCTTCTTGTGAGGTCAAGTAACACACAAGTGATAGTTATTGTATTACCGGTATCAGAGTGCTCTATATTAGTAACAATATCAATGCGTAATGATGCCCCTCTTTGACATGCAAAGCGATAACAAAATTAAGCAGTCTCGTCTTTCAACAGGCGTGGTGGCACGCGAGTTCTAGTCCTTAGTGATGTGGTATACAGTGTCAGGCTTAACGGATATGTAACTTAACAGGCATCAGTAGATATGCTAAACGATCTCACTGTTAGGACAAAAGTGGTATATCGTCAACTGCCCCCCCCCCCCCCCCCTGGAACGAGAACGGCGAATACACATACTCTTACGTATAGCTGGCTGAGTCGTTATGAAAGTGAACAGACCCTTGACTGTGTCTGCGCCGAAACAAACGTTATTGGATAATTCGCAAGCAAATCAGCATTATTCCGGGACGGCCGCCAAACCCTCGTCAGTGTAACTATCGACAATAATATGTTCTATGTGTTTACATAATATGCCATGACTTAAATAGCCCCGGCGAGTAGTCGCCGTTGATGGCGTGAACGCGCAGTGATCAGATCAACCCGCCAGATTCTCCGCTTTCCTGCTCGACGTTCAACGCCAGCCGTCGTTCTATGGAAGTTATCAGAAAAATGAAAAAAATGTTGTACAACAGCCTATAACTGATAAATCCGACAGTCACTTGGCGGACGCACAGTGAAACATAAAATATCGCAACCCATCGATGTATTACATAATTATCGAGAGTAGAATGCAACACGAAATAGCACACGTCATATAATAGACTAGGAATAATGTGCGAGTACGTAATCTAAAAAAACACAGAACGCATTTTCTTCAAATGTCTCCAAAAGGAGGAAAAAAGGGCCGGGACCCCCAGAATCGCAAAAGGGTCGGCGATTCCTTAGCCGGCCTTACATCTCGCCGAAGTGAGGACATCGAGTGTCCAGCCGTCAACGCACTAGGCCGATAGGGCTCCCCACTCTGTACCTGTCTCACTGAGCCCCCAACTCCGACGGGGTCGGTGTTTTTAACGGGCCGCCTCTTATTGATCTTCCTGGCGCACATGTCCGGAATGAGCATTCGGGCCAAGCGTAAAAACAAAAACCGTACTCGCACGTTGAAAAAACACAGTATGTGGCCCGCGGCGGGTACGTGCGCCGCGCGTCACATCTGAAGTAAACCTGCTCAATACCGTCCCCGGGATTACAAGAAAAATACACACGTCATAGGAATAGCCTAATCGCACTAAAAACAGCATGTGTCCCGCGGGGTACATAAGCCGCGCCACATGTCGGTCTCCCGGAGTGCTCCCGATCAGTCAGGAGCTCACCACGACGGTCTTGAGTTCTTCTCGCTTGCTCTGAGAACCGTTTAATTGTTGACGGAGACCTTTTTGTTGGCCTGCCGTGGCACCCATGATCGCTTCGGTTTCGTCCCTGTTAGCCTCGGTGCATTGGTCTCAGAACAGCGCTAGCAGCGAGCCGATGAAAATGTACTCGCATTAGTCCAACATAGCTTTACGTGCCGACGACGTCGTAGGTGTCATTTCTGCTGGTTATTGACTTTGTGATACCTATTATAACTGCGCGATGCGCATCGCGTTCTTAATCCATTTTAAATCCTACCATGTGTTTTACTTCTTCACAGCAAACAAGGCAAAAACTCTGCATTAATCATCAGCCGTCAGCTGATGACATCGACGAGCCGGCTGGCTGTGAATGAGCTAGAAATCAACCTCTTGTTTGATATTGATGGTATTCGGCGGCCACATTTGGTTCATTTTGCGATGTCTTTCAGAGAGACTTAACTTCAAAATGGCGGCACTTACCACGGTCTGATCAAAATGAATAATCTCCATATATGTGCGTACGCAACATGCCTATTCTGCTAGGGCTAAGCACAGTAAGGTGCATCCCCATATCAAAAATAGCTTGCTAAGAAATTCAAAATTTGATGGCCAGAATTCCTGGATTTTTTGTGCGGGAGCTAAACTCTAGGGGGGGGGGGGCATAATACTGCGTTATCATCCCCAAGAAATCCTGCATCTGCCCCTGCTGCTGGCAAGGTAATGATGATACGGCGTTCAGCCAACTTTTTAAGTAAGCCCAGAATGAGTCAGGTGGAGGCAGTTGGCGCCATCCGCTGTGGCGACGGGTGTGCTTAGTACAGCTGTGCAAGTGACACTCGCAGTGTTACGCTTGTGCAATGTGTTCCCTCAAAGCACAGTGTCATCTGTTAAAATGCCCTGATGTTGTGTGTTCCCTGTTTTGTCCTCGAAGATGTGTCGTAAAAGTAAGAATGAGACATAATTGTTTGCAACTTTAGCTGTGGCCGGGAAGGAAAGAACGCCAGGGTAGCCAGTTTTGCATGGTCTTGATCCTTGACCGTTTTTTTTTTTAGGTCGGGGGAGTGCGGATCGCATCCATTAATGGCAATATGATGCCCGTCTTGTGTTGTTTTTGTTTTTTGTTTTTTGTTTTTTGTTGGTTTTTTTGGTAAAAAAAGAATAACAGGGCATCCCAATGCTGACCTTTCATTGACTTGATTCAATGGAATGCATGTTCATGAATAATCTGAGTAGATTGACTCCTTGACAAAAGAGAGCAAAAATCGGAGCCCGGTGCTGAATTTCAATACAAACACGAAGCTACGCGCTCAGACACAGCGGTAGAAGGCCCCTGTCGCTCGTCTCCCCATCGCATGTGATTTTTGTATGGCAGGTCCTTCCCTCAGCAATGCTTGAGCCTGGTCGTCTCAGCATGGCTTATTACTGTAAAACATCCCCATGATATGAGGGCCTTCCATCTTTCATGACAGCGACTTCCCTGTCAGCGATCGAGACTTCTCTCTTCGTTACGAAGCCTGCTCTTTGTAACGGGGTCTTATCTTTTCGTGACGGGCCTACTCTCTTCATGACGAATCTGCTCTCTTTGTGGCGGGCCCTGGTCTCTTTGTGACGGGACCTCCTCCGTTCGTGATGGGGTCTCCTCTTTCCGTGGAAGGGCCCCTTTCTCGCGGCGGATTCCCGCTTTTCGCGAGGGATGTCTCCTCCCATCGCGAGGGTCAGCTCTCCTCGCGAAGGAGGCCTCCTCTCACGTGATGGGGGAAAAGCCTTCCGTTATGCCCATCTGACAGTGGTCATGCCCCTGGTCCACCCGTAGTTGTCTGCGCCCCCCCCCCCCCCTCCCCCTAAGTCCCGTCACAATGAGTCAGTCAGTATGGAATAGCCTTTCGCAAGGTGAATCTGTTTCCGGAACCAGGCGTATACCATGCAATTGAGCATACAGCCACGAACGTGCGATCGCGCACTGCGTAGGGAGACGGTCCAGCCCAGTTTTTTCGATGTACAACATGCAAATGTGGGTGGGGGAGACAAAAACCAAGTTGTCTTTCAAAATGATGGCAGGGTATCTGCAGGGGCGGGGGCGCTTTCACTACCAATGGCAGCAATGCGTCCTTCGTCATAACTCAACGCTGTGAAAATCGCTGCCACAGTGACGAAATTCTCTGACGAGATGGAGGGCGGGGGGGGGGGGGGAAGGCATGCTTACTTTGAACCATTTGCTCGGCATGCAACTTCATAGGGGCAATTAAAGACTGTCCGCCGTCGGAGGAGGGACGCCACTGTTTCACGCACTGCACTGTCGCCGCCGTATATATATATATATATATATATATATATATATATATATATATATATATATATATATGTATACGGCGGCGAGAGAGAGAGAGAGAGAGAGAGAGAGAGAGAGAGAGAGAGAGAGAGAGAGAGAGATATATATATATATATATATATATATATATATATATATATATATATATATATATATATGTCGCCGTTGTGTATAGCATATCTACGTAACGGCACGCATCACAACACACCTGAACGTTACAGCATAACAACAAAATAAACTTGCAGTCAACGATTTATGAATGTATTATACCACGTACTGCAATATTCAGCTGATATAAATGGCATAGATAGCTATGCGAGTATCACACTATATTACACCAAAGCTGAGTTACATCATAGAGAGGATATTTATCACTCCATCTGAATTATGGAAACGATCACAGATTGCAGTGTCACAGGGGTGTGGAAAATTTACTGCAATGTTCCAGATTTCGCTCAATACGCATGCTTATCTCATGCCTAATGAATTCAGTTGTCCATGGAAATCCTCGATTGTCATCACGACAAACAAAAACAGTGCCTTCTTCACTTCCGCATCAAGACAATCGCGCTTGCCAGACAGGAATAACTCGCGCTTCGCTCGTTTGACAACGCATATCAGCACGACCCATGGACGCACGCGTCACCTGCCTGCAACCGACACGTCACACACCTATCTGATGCATAATCTGGTATATCATGTCGTAACACAGCGTAACACGCTTCCCGCAGCCACCAGCCACTACCGAGCGTCCCAGCCCGGCCCATAACAGCCACGGTTGGGTAGTCTCCTCCCACAGTGCTGCTTTTGCGGTCTGCTGCGGGGCGAACTCCGTCCGTCACACACGCACATCCCGACGCAGTGCGACGCGAGAGGCGAGGCGAGCCCGGCCCGCTTCGCCAGGCGGACCCTGCCCGCTTCGCAAGGTGAGACAGACCCGCTTCGCCAGGCGGACCCCACCTGCTTCGTCATGCGAACCTGACTCACTTCGCCAGACGGACCCCACCCGCTTCGCCAGGCGGACCCGGCGCGCTTCGCGAGGCGGACTCAGTCCGCTTCGCAAGGCGAGGCAAACCCGCCGCGGGTGAGACGTCACACTCCGGGCGGAGGCGCGGCTCGGACGGAGATGTCCATCCACACAGGTTGCTGGGCGGGCCGCTGCCACGACACGGTGGGAGGCGAGGCGAGGCGTCACTGACCGGCACAACCCGCCAGGCGAGCCGTCACGGCTCGGGAAGCGAGGCCGAGCCGTCGGCGATCGTCTCCAGCGCGCGCACCGCCTGCCGCAGTGAGGTCACCGTCTCTTGCAGCCGCTCGCGTGAGCAGGTGAGCGTCAGCTCCCGAGCGGCGCCGTCAGACGGCAGCATTACGAACGTTACCTCGAAGTGCGGCCGGTTCGCGGCCGCGCCGGCCACGCTCGACTGTGGAGAGGGGGAGGGGGAGATGGAGTTCAGGCGGCGCCACTCGGCGGTGCGGGGTGGCACGAAGACGGCGGGAAATGCGGTAGAGCACGGAAGAGAGACGGTCATACGGCTGCGGGTTTGAACTTAAAGGTGTTTGTTGAAAACCCACATGATCCCTGTTAGTTTGCTGAAAAACTGAGTTATCCACTGCTGACCTGTGCAGCATTAGACTGACGACTGCGACTTGTTTTAACTGAAGTGGCGGCCTTAAAGTCATGAAGTACTGATCACGTCACATTAATGAAAGCATGATGTGAAGTGGCAACCTGACTTCAATGCTGTCCTGATAGATTCTTGACCTCTGCATCTCTGCAACCTCACTCACCCACTGTGACCCACCATGACCCCTTCTCACCTGCACCGTGACCACCTCGCGCCACCTGACGTCGACCAGCCGCGGCGGCTCATAGCCGACCCTTGCCAACAGTTGACGCGCCGCCGGCCGCGCCTGCGCCGCCAGTTCCAGCAGTGCGGTCCGCCGCTCGGCCGTCCAGCCGGCCTCCTCCAGCGTCGTAGCCAGCCGCGCCTCGCCCGCCGGGTCGGAGTCCGACGGCGAACGACGCACGTGCTCGACGAAGGTGGCCAGCAGGGCAGCGTGGCAGCGGTGCACCTGGTCAGCGGCCAGGTCTGGGCACTTCACCAGGAGTGCTGGGGGCACAGGGCATTGGTCAGGGACATGGGGCTGGAGGCTTGGTGTAAATGGACAACTGGGGGAGGTTTGGTGTAAATGGACAAAATTGTGTTGAAATTTACAACATGGTGATGCAGTCATCACAGCAGAAATATACAGGATATGGCCCTTGTGCATCACCATACAGGATATGGTGATGAACATGCAGCTTGACCTGAGAAACATTTGAGAAGTTCAAACACTGCTGGGCACATGGGCTTATCCTGGTTGGCGGACTCTGTAATGCTTCTACTGACATGTCTTTCTATATAACTCAAAAGAACCAATGATGGGTCAAGGTAGTAACAGGGCAACAATAGGAATAAAGGTATTGATTTCTCATTAATGGCACTAATTCTGTAAATTTGTCTCATGAGATATCAAGAAAACAGCAAGATATCCCAACCATTGACAGCTTACATGAGACATGTTCCCTCTTTGATGGATCTGTTCCATCCAGAACAGCCCGCTTCACAATAGCTTTGAAGGGCTTGTCGGACAATGTTGCAATAACTTTGAGCCCATCCAAGTGCTCCTCTGGTAGATCCATTGTTGCGTGACAAGTGAGACACCGTCAAAAAAGCAGCCTGAAAACAGAAAATATTTTTAGAGTGCTCAAAACATGCACATTTAGAGAAACACCTCAGGTTAATCGACCACACACAAACATTAACTGGGACTGGTATCAACCCCATGAGACGGCATTCTGACATTGTCATGTTCATGAGCAGAGGTAGAGCAACGCAGTTACAAGATCATGCATACTCTCCAAGTGCAATTTTCAAGACAGAATATGATATATTTCAAACGCACATCTCAACACGAAACCGACTGACCTGTCCATAACCACGACCCAAGCCTTTCCATGCCCAGCATTCAGTTCCAGGGTTACTTCGCCGGCTGTTTGCTCCGACTTCCATGCATGCGTCAAGCAGTACCCAATCGGATTGCAGCCTTTACGCAAATGAAACCTTTTGATTGGCTGTTTTGATGTGATATGCGAGTTTCAAGTCAGTGTTGGATGTCTTCATAATTTGTAAGAAATCTGGCGCCAGTGCGACCAAAACCAACGCGAATGTCATCAAAACGTTGGCCGCGGTAAACGCGGGCACCTGAAGTGCCCATAACGTTCGTGTGTTGGGGTCGGGGTGCGTGTCGGTGGGTCGTTTCCCTAGTGTACCCGATATTACCCTCCTGTTCGCTGCGAGCTGTCTGAAGGAAGGACAGGTGCGTTCATGCTCACGCACATTTGCAGCGTGTTTGGGATGGTGCTTTTACACCAAACTCGTGATGTGCAGCGAATCTATGTGACACATGTGTCGGGGGGGGGGGGGGGGGGGAATATTTGCAGACTAATGAGACCGAGCCACCTTTATTTGATCTCCTCATCATTCTAGTCTGTTTGCAATGTGGCATTCTGTGTATCTATTTAAGATCAGCATGAAAGCATTATGTTATTTTTTGTGCATTGTAAGTGAAGCTCTTGCTGAAAATTTATTGCTTAAAGTAACTTCCATTAAATGTACCAGAAGATACTCATTAATCAAAGTTTTCAAACAACCATTGGTTGATGAGCAAACAGTGGTCCGCTTAGCATGCTGTGTTATCCTGGAGAAATAAGGTAAATGGGTGCCAAGTTGACTGGAATGTAAATGTTACATGCCCATCTTGGCAAAGGAGATTGGCTGGAGACCTTCAGATCATAACCATTATTGCCCATTGCTGTCATCTTAGTCACAGGCTAGTATGGTCCCAAAGCACTGGTGTTCAAATTGCATGATGTTTAATCAGGATGCATGCAGGAGCTGGATCATCTGAACAACATCTGGCATGTTTTTATGCACAGCTAGTGGCATGTCCCTTAACAAGACTTTTAAGGATGATGGGAACTGGCAGGCTTGTGATGGATGCTTAGCATATGTTGCACTCTTGGATTTGCAATAAACCTTTTTTCTCTCTTTGATGCCAGCAACTTCTCAAAAGAACTACTGCTTAGTGTGCAGTCAGCTCCTAAGATGGACTGCATGCTTCCTAGCAGGACTAAAGCAAAGAATGTGTCTATTATAAGCAATCTGAGCATAATTTGGCTTCTGAACACTTAAGTTTATTATGAGTGGACTGCAAGGCTACTGATGCATTTACCAATATTCTGCATCAGGAGAATACCATTGCTGCTGTCACTGGGTTTTATTACAGACCACCTCACTACAATCATTGGTGCCTTCTTCAGGTGGCAGTGTTTGCATGCTGTCCCATTTCCCATGCATCCCTGCACTAAATCATTGGGGACACACTTGGTTTTGCATTTGCTGCAGGTGGTCTGAGACTGGGGCTAGGCTGTGAGATTTGTGGGGAATTTGGAGGGATTCATGGCTGTTTGGTCTTGTCGAACCACTGTGCACTGCACAGTCAAGGTGTGTTGTGCTGTCAAGGGCAATCAGAGTGCAATTCTCAAATGGTGGCTATCCCAGGCTTGAGGGTAATACTGGTCTGCTGGTCAGGCATGGAGCAGGCACAACACATGTGCTGACATTACTGAATATTTGTGTTTGTGACCTGGGTTAGGGTATGCCACGCTCAGGTCAGCTCAAGGGTGAGGGGTTGCTGCGCTCGGACCGGGGCTGGTTGTCAGCTGACTGTCTGTGGGTTTGAACTTCTGCCCGCGGGAGGGGCTTGGAAAGATGGCACCGAGGAGTTAACCCTCACCCTGATTCGCTGTTCTTCGTAGCGCGGACTGTTACGGCGGAGGGGGGGGGGGGGGTGATGCGACGTCCAAGATGCGAGCTCGGAAACGCCTCTTCTGACGACTATGTTGCTGGCGGAAGGGGCGTTTCCGAACTTAAAAGATAGAGCTTGACTTAAAACACCAGTGGATTGGTGTCAAGGAGATTTCGTGATTCGTGCTATTTGGTATATTGTTAGGTCAATAATTGGATCCCATATGGCAAGCCGCGGGTAGAATTTGCTGGAAAATCACACTTAAGCATTACAGCATCGCGACTACCGAACCATGTTATTTGGCGACAGGCATCTTAAACAGGCGTGTTCCTCGTTCAGTTGTGAGTATAATGGTGTATAGTTTGAGGTGCTCCGAGCACACGCTCGTCATGTATGACTCCGTTAATTTATCAATGTCTGTCTGCCGCTCGCGCCGGCCGTAGATCGCCGGGTAGCGTTAATCAAAAACTGCCGCTGCTCCGAAACCACAAAAGGTAGGAACATGTTTTTGGTGTCCAAACACGCGCATTGGATGCCCCATAGCCTGGCGATAATTTGGGCGGCATTGCACAACATACTGAAGAGGTATCCTAAAAAAACAAACTTGGTGGGTTGCATCCCCTTATCAGTGCGAGGCGTAACGTTCGCGGACCTGGTCAGTAATGTTCGCTGTCACTCCGCCTCTGTTGGCCGAAAGATCACCGCCGAAATGGCAACGGACAGCCGTGGCGTCGTACCTCTCCGTCCGAGATGGCATGCCTCCTCCCTCCCACCATGCGTAAACATAGCGGGGCTAGTCGTACACCCTGTGACCTTACGCGACCGTATCCGGGCTATGGGTGACAGGACTCGATGTAGAGCTTTTGGACTGGGCGGTGTGCCGCGGCTTGCGATGGAAACTGTTTTGCTGTCGTAGGACCTCACTCGCTTCATCTAACCAATAATTATTTCATCACTTGCGTTTTTTTCCTGTTCGTGAAAGATAGCTTTAGCTCTTGTCATTGACAAGTCTGGTCGTCATCACGCCACCGCCAATTGTACGCTGACATCAATGTATATCTGCGGGCGAAAACACGAGAAGGTTGCCTGTTGGCAGGAAAATGCAGATGTATATCCCTTGCCTCCAGTAACAACACGAGCTCACCATGTCGCTGGCGGAGGAGCTGCTGGCCGATCTGGAGGAGGGTGACGGCGCCGACGAGCTGCCGGAGGCGCCGAGCGCGCTGCCCGTCATCCGGGAGGAGAAGATGGAGATGGATGACCCGTGCGCTCCAGAGGGTCCGTTCGGCCGGGAGCGTGACGTTCGCTTTGAACGCGCCCAATGTCTGCATGCATTGAGAAACTGCGAGCTTTGTTTGTGTGGTGGAACTGAGGTGATGTGCACAGTTTCCACTGATGACAGGTGATGATGTTTTAGAGTACCTTGAAGATCACCTGTCTTAAAAATCGCAGACTGCATTTTTTAACACTGCACATGAGCGGTTTTGGGCTCAGGCGGTGGCATGAACAAAGGTCATCGCGTACACCATGAACTTATCGTCCGAGAAACATTGTCACGACGCGCCTGTTCGACTCTTGTGTTGGACGGCTTGTTTTAGGCTGGGCCGGTTTCTTGCCGTGATGTGACATGTCCAAATGTTTTCATCTTTGGCGCCATCCGTCTCCACCTTCGTTCAGACTGTCTGCCTTCCCACTGGCCGGTCCAGCTGGCTTGACCCTCCGTGTTTAGTTTGTCGCGAGCGTCACGAATCAAGCATCGTTGCCGCCAGAGGCCTTCAGGAGGATCCACGATTCGCAAGGGCAGTCACGTGTAGCGGGCAGTTGTGCTAGACGAGCGGCATCGGCTGACGCCGACGTCTGTCCTCAGCACCCGACGGCGCCGCGGTCCACTCGCTGCTGAAGTTGGCCGGCTCTGCCCGGCTGGAGGACATGATGCAGGCCGTGGAGAAGTTCTTCGCCAAGGTGCTGCAGCCGCCTGAGCGCGTGCAACGTCTTGATCTGGCCGTGGACGCAATTACTTCGTGAATGTTATCCGGTTCCGTTTCTGTTTTGGTGGCATTTTATGTGGGCAAAAGACAAAAATACTGCAATCTCAGTAAGAGTTGCTGGGTTCCAGACCCCACTGACCCCATTGGTGGTGACGCTCATGCATTTGACCTTGCTGGACCGTGTCAGTTGAGCTGTGCGCGGGGGTGGTGCACTTCGAAAGGTCCTGGTTGTGATGCTGCTAGCTTATGAGGCCGTGGCCTAGCCTTATGAGCGAAATTTATTTGTAGTTTGTGCTCATGTGGCGCAACCTATTGCACGGTGCAGGGCGGGGAGTTTGACTCGCCCGACGTGGTCTGGGCATCAGAGAGCTGGCATGGCGAAGTGTATTACCGCTTCGCTGCCCCGCTGCCGGTCCTGCCAAAGGCCTTCGTCATTTGCGATTTCCCCGCGCCGGACTTCTGTGGTGTTTTTGCTGTGTGCTTGCTGCGGTCCGACTTGACCGCACCGGCTTGTGCTCGGTTCTGACGCATCACTACACGCGCCGTGATGCCGGCTGGTCACCGTGTCTTCGGCCCCCTATCCCGTGACCCCGCTGGTCTGCGGACGGGCGATGGTGTGTGAGCCGCCGCCTCCTCCCCTGCGACCTCGACTTGACCCGTGCTTGGCGATCAGGAGCGGCGAGCCGAGGACATGGTGGGACCGGTGGAGGCTGACCCCGAGTACCAGCTGATCGTGGAGGTCAACCTGATGGCGGCCGAATTCGACACGGAGATCGGTGAGTTCAAATCCCGGGACAGGATTTTTATGGACAAGCAGGACGGGCTTTTCACCCCACCCCTCGTCGCCTGGTCGCGTGGGCTTTACATGCAGACTGCCACGTGGCTCGGCGTCGCCTACGTTTAACCCCCGGCTGCCTGCGTCGCCGCAGGCATCATCCACAAGTACTGCAAGGACCTGTATGGCCGCCGGTTCCCCGAGCTTGACTCGCTGGTGGTGGCGCCACTCGACTACATGCTGACCGCGCGCGAGCTGGGCAACGACCTGGAGCGCGTCAAGAACAACGACCAGCTGCAGCAGCTACTGACCCAGGCCACCATCATGGTGGTGTCCGTCACCGCCTCCACCACGCAGGGGTACGGCGTGCCGAGTCGGTCTGCCCGGGACGCCTCGCAGGGGATGGTGGGCGCGTGTGCACGCCGGCGGGGATACGCTTTTGGGGATGTGGATGGATGTTAGCCCTGGTTCAGGCTGTGTTGTTCATCGTGACGGACGAT